AGCCAAAGGACCTGCAGCTAATATCACAGGCTCATAATACGTTCTCCGAGCTGTTTCTTCTCCTCATAACGAAGTGGGGCGCCACTAAGTCCATTGTTAAATGTTGGTGAGGAGACTGCAGTCCTCAAGAGGAGATGAAAGGAGTTTGACATGGCATGACTGCAAAGGATGGTCCAGAAGATAATGGATCATCTTGAAACCATCTAGGCGTGCATAGAAGTAGCCATTTTCGTTTGTTTTGAAAACCTTATAGTAGATTTGATCTCTAAAGTTCTTGCAGATAACGCTGATGTTTGCATACGGGATTGGTTTGGCTTCAGACAAAGACCATGTTCCATAGTATTTACAGCTCTGGCAATACACCATACCTTCCACAACTACATCAATTTTCTGTTCTGCTGCTTTTCCTGGGACATATGAATTGGTTGCTGTGAACAATGAGAGAAGCAACACCGATAAGGTAACAATATTGAGATTCTTGCCTGCCATTTTTCTTGGTGTATTTTTGGCTTTGGAACTTGAAAGAAAATGTGAGAAGAAAGCTAAGTGAACTCTGTGATGGATAAATAGAAGATGAAGTGAGCAATTATATAGTTTGCTTCCTTTTCTTATTCACACTCCCTTAATTAATATAAGAACTCCTCTCACTCTTTTCAAATAGTCTGTTTTACAAAGAAAGGACAGTATCAATAGTAAAATTTGGAGTGGCAATAGGACTTGCCTTTAGTTTAAGCTTTCTTGAGTCCTCTTAATGGACGTGAAGGCAACTAATTAAGGTTTCATTGTCTACCATGAAGTTCTTGGTGCATTATTATTGTCAACGTGAGGGCCATTTTCCACTTACAGATTATTAGGAAATAGTTCCACCTACACATATTTCTAATATTTGCATATTAGCCCCTCCCAAAAAATTATTTGGATATTGATGCCAGACAAAGTAAGTCCTTTTTTCTTGTTCTCGGCCTGCTGGGCTTCCATGTGAAGGCCCAGAAATTCGTCTATCAAATCCAAACCTCAAGATGGTTGAACCAGAATGCGAGCAAAATTAGTTTTATTATTGGATAAAGCTATTAATTTTTATTATTAATAGAATTATTGATTTATTATATAATATTTTATTCTAATTTTACTTGAAATTTTATATAAACTAAAATTTTTATTATTTTTTTAATAAAATCTTCATTCCTTTTAAATTTTCTAATAATTTTTCCAAAATCATGTGTGTATGCCTATCCCTGTCCCTTGTTGATGGGATGAGTGCTAGCTAAGCTGTAAACTAGAAATGGGGATAGGCTGGAAAGTAAATATTCATCGTGTGTATGTGTGTATTGCGTGTGTGTGTATATATATGTATATGACTTATGATATACATATACATATATATATATAGAGAGAGAGAGAGAGAGAAATTTTAATAGATAAAATACATTCCATGCACACTTATTGAATCAGTCAGCCAATCGTAAACTTCTAATTCCATTAATTATATTTTCATACATTCCATGCACACTTATTGAATCAGTCAGCCAATCGTAAACTTCTAATTCCATTAATTATATTTTCATATCTGAGAGCTCTTCAAGTTCCAGCTAGGAATAACTTGAAACGCGGCAATGGCTGAGCATTGACCTTGCAATTTCAAGTTAAAAAATAGTAAGATATATATACTCAGTATATATACACACACACACACACACACACACACACACACATACACTGACAAGACAGGATAACGCATGATTTGCTCAATTGAAAATAATCAATTCCTTGTTTTTATTTTCAATAAAAGAAAGCAATTGATTGTCGCCACCAACTTTTTTAATGGCAGTTGAGGGAGACCTTGAAACAGTCTACAGAGAGAGAGAGAGAGAGAGAGAGAGAGAGAGAGAGAGAGATGAGAACAAAATCATATGCATTTGTTTTTGTTTTTTTTAACAAAAGGGGTGTAATATATGGAAAGAAAATTTAAGATGGAAAACTGAATTTAATGGGTCAAATCAGTCACCTTAGGACTAAGTCATTTCTTTTTTTATAAAAAAATTTATATAATTATTTTAATTGAAAAAATTATTTTTTACAATTTTTTTTAAAAATATTTTAATTTATTGAAATAAAATCTAATTTAATGAAAGCTCTAATTTTGAATTTCTGATTTCTAAGTATAACACATGAATATTAATCACTAAATTATTATTTTGTAATAAAAAATTATATAACAAAATTTAATATATATTATTATTTTAATTTATGAAGACGAATGTTAATTTTTAAATTTTATAAAGAATAAGAAAACAGAAATTTGAGAAACGTATAGATAATTCTGTATTATTTTTACTTAAATTTTGCAGATTATAATTAAAAAAATGAAAAAAAAAAGATGTAAAAACTATTTTTCTGTTTTTTTTTTCTAAAGATTTCAAGTCTTGATTCATGTGTAACAGAAGCTTTGTGTTTTAATCTTTCAACCACAGGAATAAAAATATCCCCTAAATTTTAAAAGTGCAGCTCTCTTGACATGAAGATTGGCCAAGTATTCACACTAGCCAGTGATCACACTGACAAATCTTGAATTTAATTGGCAAAATAAACTCTTCTTGTGAATTCTCTCACAGCCAATTCATAGCAGCAAAAACAGGATGAGGAAGAATTTATATTATATACAACTAGTTTTACATTACGAGAAAAGATTAATACATGTAATTTTGAACCTAAAAACGCAAAGTACTTGGTTTACATATCACCCACGGGCACCATGGAAGATCAGAAAATTTCTTTGCAACTTAATACTTACAGTCTGAACTTCCACATCTAAGCTAGCTTGCTAGGCTGCTTCAGTCGACAAAATCTCAAGCTCTGCCCACCAAAGTGGAGAAAGTTTTGGGATTGACCCATCTGGTGTTAGTCCAGTAATCTCTCTCAATCTAGCTGTGACTTCCCTCATTTTTGGTCTATGTTTCGGTTCGGGATTGACACATAGTTTTACCAATTCACCAATGTCCGCCAGCTGATTTTCATCAAAAGATTTTAGAGTCTGATCCACCATTTCTCCAAGGTATTGGACTCCCGTTAAATAGTCCGATGCCCAGTTTTCGAGTAAGCCATCGTTGAGTGAGAAAGGAAGCCGGCCAGTCATTATTTCGAATAACAATACACCAAAGTTGTAAACATTAGTCTCTGTGGAGATTGATGGTGCATGGATGAGCTGTTTGCCCTTTATTTCCATCTCAGCTGCAGCCATCTCATTCCAGAAACTGTAGTCTGAGACTTTGGCGGCGTAGTCTTCGGTGAGGTTGATTGATGAAGAGGTTATGTTGCCCAGAATTACTGGTGGGTTTTGCTGGTGCATATGCTCAAGGCAGTAAGCCATGCCCATTGCTATCCTCAGCCGCATCCCCCAGTCCAAGTGCTCTGATTCTCTAACTGCAATAGCAAATTGAATTATCTTATAAGACATTAAGCTAAAGCTTAGTATCAAGATGAATCATCAAGTGACAAAATAGGGTACCAAATACAGTGTATAAACTTGTTAATAAGAAATGTTTTCAATTAAAAAATAAATTTATTAATAAGATACAGAAAAGAGAAAAGACAAGTTATATTACGTTCTTACAATGCATCGCTAAGAAAAAATAGTTCTTTCTACTAGAAGTTATCAGTTAAGGTTGTGATGACCTCTCAGTTCTTAAATCAGGAAGTTAGGTACTTACTGTGTAAATGCTCATAGAGTGTTCCATTTGGAGCATACTCGAAAACCATCATCCTGGTAAAGGGCTCATTTTCCTCGCAGTATCCAAGAAGGTTGACAAAATTCTTGTGATTCACTTTTGATAATGTGTCAATCTGGATTGATAAGCATAGAAAATGCTTAGAAGTGATAACACCAATTGGAATCATTTACAATTATATATGAAGTGCGGTAGGTACCTTCTTCCTAAACTGCACTTCTAAATTTGCTGACCAGTCCTTAATAGATGTAACAGCAACTGAGACCACAGATATTTCGGTTCCGCTAGATAGTGTCCCTTTGTACACCGTACCAATTGATGAAGAACTAATTACATTACTAAAATCTTCACAAGCTGCTTCAAGCTCTGATCTCTTAAGCTTTGGTACACCTGAAAGATATGTACATAATACATATATAAATCCATACAGTTACATACAAAATGAAAATTTCAACTGAAAATCCAGAGTTTGGTGGTGTAAGGATGCTGATCTATCCACATGATTAACATGAAATGCATGAGGCAGAAGTTTACAGTTCCATCATGAAGAACCTCGTATCCCAACATTTACCAAACCAAATTATTTAATCCAAACCAAATAACTACGCCTTCAATATATTTGGAAAAAAATATGAATGTCTAATCATCTATCAAATTGTCCCTGATAAGAAGGAAGAATTACCAGTTATGAATGCTTTCTGAAGTTGTCCACTTAATCCTGTCCGCCATGGTTTAACAGCACTTACAGTTTTGTTTCTGTAGAGATATATTCCGACTATCAAGATGAGAAAAGCAACAGCAGCCCCAATAGAGACACCCAATATTAAAACTTCGGGAGTGTTTGAAGGGGGAGAAAATCTTTGTTGAGGAGAAGGAAGAATGGTAGGAACAGTTGGTGACAAAGCAGGCACTTTCGGTTCTGGTGCAGGTGAAGTCTGATTAGTTAAGACAGCAACAGATCCTGATGGTAGTGGGGATGTCGAAGGAGAATTAGGGTTCATTGAATTATTCGATACATTGGAATTTTTAGTATCCAGTAGTCTCCTGTAAACTGCATGCTCAGTTTGGATGATGTTCCTGAAAAGGATAGAAAAGCATTAAATGAAAGAAGCATAATAATAGGTACAATTCTATATAAAGGAAAATTCAGAAGAAACAAGACCAATATCCTTCACTTTATCTGACTGATGTTAAAAGGAACTAGCAAACTTTACAAAAGATGGGGGGTGATCACTTCCTTCCAACATCGTTAACTGGTCAGTTTCCAAATGTGTTAAACTACAAACACATGCTAACATTCTGGATCTTCAGATTCAATGAAGAGACATACCATGTACTGTATCTTTTGCTGGAACATGATGTCTTAGCATGATTTGAGAGTTTCTTTTCATCTACTTGAGCTTCAGAAAGTCGTTGGAGTTCATAAATTTCAGGAGAGAGACCACCAAGAAGCTCATTGTTGTCAAGCAAACTGGAACACAAGCAGGAATTATGTCAGGAAAACAGTAGGAAAACAAAATTTCCCTGGCACTTAGATTTTGATGATTTTAAATTATCAACATACAGGATTGTTAGTGACAAATTATTGCCAAGGTCCCGAGGAAGGGGGCTGCTGAACTTATTATATCCCAGATCCAACTCCTCTAGTTCCTTCAGCTTTCCAAGTCCTTCTGGAATAGTTCCACTGAAAATGTTGTTGCGCAAAATGCTGCACGAAACATGAATATGATGATTTGTAGCAAAAACGTAACAAATCTAAGGGAAAAAGCTTTACAAATGAGGCTTATAAGAGATGATGCATGTGTGAATGAACTAATGAATCTTACATTGACTTCATATGGACAAGGTTTCCGAGTTCTGGTGCCAATGTTCCTTCGAGGCAAAGATCTTTCAAATTCCTGCATATTTTATCCTCTATGAGATAATTATGAGATTACATGCACCTTATGCTCGACAATTAATAACCAGATTATAAAGTAAACAACATAGAGATCAATGTTCGATGGTCACACACATGCCGGAAAATAAGTTCAGTAATCACCATAGTAAAGCCTATAAAACTCACAGATCTATTCATGGTTCCAAACTTGTTCCCTTCTGATCTTTTAAGAATCTATATATAAAGTGAATACCTACCAATATAAATTGAAGACCCAAAAAGGAGCAGCAGGAAATTACTAATTAGAAACCTTGATTTAGGATTTTCTCAAGTACACAATTGATAATCATATTCTCGAAAAGAATCATGTTTTCTTCATCGATGATGAGTTTTATTTCGCTTGACCTCGTTAACAGTGCGTAAATGAAAATCTTTAACTTCGATTTGGAGATCGTAACACCGAAGTAATTGCCGGTTCTTCCTTGAAATTTAATGTTACAACTGGTAAAAATTTTAGTTCTGCTCCCTGAGGAAAAGGATGGGATGAAAAGCTTATACCTTCCATTTTCTCGGCAACCAAACAGAACCACTAAGAAATCAATCATCAGTAAATTAAGTTCAGTTTCCAGGAAGTAAAAAAAAAAAAGAAGGTAGGTACTTACAACTGCACAACTTTTCCACCGGAACACCCAACACCGAACCACGAACACGGGTCAACCTCTCCATCATCATCATTCCAATTGGATAACGCGCCAAACGGATCCTTCACCACTCTCTCTCTAAACCTCAGCAAAGCCACACCTGCAAACCCCAAACAATTTCCTTCATTTTCCGGCTCACCAAACAGACAACAGAGAAAAATAAAGAACAACACAATCACGTCACCTTCATCATTCAACGACCAGCACAAGGTGAAATACAAGCACATAAAAAACAACACCGAAACTTGCATTCCCGGCCTCAACCGAACGAACTTCCAGCTCTTATCCATCATCGTTTAAATCGAGATTAAACTCAACTCAAAGTTAACTTCAAGACCACCAGGTTATCCTTAATCAGCTTCAAATAGTATCTATACTGAGTCCAAAACCGCGCGTAACTGAGCTAAATCGAATGGATAGTCGAACTTGAAAATCCAAATATTTCCACCGGATTTAAATTTCTACAAATGAATCAAAGAAACAAACAAAAAAATGAATCTGTTGGATCAAACTGAAAACAGAAGAAGCAAAGAATAAGAGAAAGAGATAGAGATGAACATAGAAGAGAAGGAAGTAAAATGTTTTCGCGTTACTTCAGGGCACTCTACTTTAGACCAGAACTCCGAAGCTTTGAAAACGCGCTTACACCCCAAGTTGGGCAGTAAAAAGTAAAAAGTAAAAAGGTAAAAATTAAATGCTTATTTTTTATTTTTTGAATTTTTTTCTGAAAACATGATAAACACTCAATTTATTTTTACTAGTAAATATAAAAACTATAACAAATTACTTAACGCTATTCATCTCATGAAGTCAGAAATATTTATTTATATTAAAAATGTGAGAGTGTAAAATTAAATTAAAAAATAAAAATAAATTGGAAGAGATAACTTCATAGACTGGGTCATTTTCGTCCTACGGGAGCCAAGGGCCCACACGCCTTGTAATGTAGTAAATGAGACATTAAATATAATAATTATATAATTAATTATTTACATTGAAATGAATTTTATTATGGCGTTGATCGGGTGGGTGATTTTGTGTTAGTTTCCTTCATCTTTCCTCTTAAATACATTGGACAAGTAATATAAATGAATATTATTATATATAAATGAAATATTTTTATCACAATTTATTTTTTATTTTTGAAAAAAAAAAGTGCGAAAATAGCCACTATCAGAGAAAATGTCAACTTAAATTTTTATTATTGATTAGAAAAAAAATCATTAGATTATTAATATCAATAAATAAACTTTAGTATTGATTGTTATATATTTAAGAAATATATTTTATTCGTGACGATATCTTTTAAATTTATAATTTTTTGCAATTAAAAATATAGTTGTGTATAATTAATGACATTACTTTTATACAATAAATTTAGTTTATAATAATAATAAATTATTAAATGTTATAAAAGTATAAATGAGTTGACAAACCTTGCAATATAATTGATGCACTTCAAATTTTATTTTCGTAGATTTTTAGTAAAGATTTAGAATAAATTAATTATATTTATAAAATATTCTAACTTATTGATACTTCTTAAGTTGACTAAATTAGATTACCGTATCTAATAGATAAAAAAAAAAATTATGAATAAGAGTGTGGAATTGAGGATAACTAAATAAGTAATTTGCATATAATTTCATAGAATATGTTATACCGCTCAAGTTAATAAAAAAATAAAGTATATATAAAATAATAAAATATAGGTAATGAGATATTTAAATCACTTATTAGTAAGTATTTATAGAACTTCTAGTTTATGTTGTTCTTCTATAATTATTAATTTATAACAATAAATTTATTATAAAATATTAAAAAATTACTAATAATTATAATATAATAATGATAACTTTATAAATACTGAGTAAAATTAAGAATTTACGTTAATTCAACTGATCGTAAAATAAATATCATAACATTTATGTAATCTGTAGTTAGTTGTATGTTTATTATTTGTATGATTTTTTAATTAATAAATAGATATGATTATATTTTAATTATATAACTAATTATGAAATTAAGGTAAATTATTTTCAAATAAAAATAGTAAAACTACTATTAGTTTATATTTAGATTTTGAATGGAATAATCGATCAAAAGCTGTGTGCCACTTTTGTATAATATGTCCAACCCATGTAGATACAAATACTAGTATGCACAAATTAAAATTTTAATGATAATTTTTTTAAAACTAATTAAGTAAGCCGTCTTTAATTGCCTTAATACTCACATAATAGTCCCCATTCACTTATTACAATTTTGACTTATTTTTTATGGGGTTTATTTGTAGGATTAGGTATTGACTTGATTTGGTATTTTTTATTTTATATATTATTTTAAAGATATAGATTCGTAATATTCTAATTTTATCTTAATTATTTTTCTATTTTTATAATTTTTAAAAAATTAATAAAAATTTAAGTTGACTAATATTATTGTTAACGTTATTATTACTTAAATCTATCTACTTACTGGAATTCTTTAATTTTTATCATTTTAGTCCGAACCCAAATTAAATCCCTATTTCTTCTAAGAATTAAACTTCTCTGCAGAGTTTCATCTCATAACAATTTAAACAATTATAGTTTTTTTTTTTTTAATATCAAAGTTATTATTTCAAAAAACATTCACATGTCTAAACATGAAAATTGAAAGTTCGGAATGCAACAAATCAAAACTACAAAAAAAAAAAAATTATAAAATTATATTCTTGAAAATTAATAATTTTACGTGAAGTGATAAAATTTAAATATCAGAGATTAAAATACTACAAGAGAATTTACAGAATATGAATTACTATAGAACAAATAATAGGAGCTAGTAAATCTTAATTTCTTCTTTGATTTAGCTGGATATATATATATATATATATACACACACACACAGAAAAATATGGTATTTAAAATTAGAAAATAAAAATAAAAATAAAAATCCAGATTAATTGAGAAAGATAATAAAGAAGAAGCAGCAGTATTGAAAAGGAATTGTTGAATAGTGTTATATTTCATAAATGAAGAGAGAGGAACAAGAACATACTCATAAAACACAGTGGAGCAAAGTCTTGGTCCCCACATGACTTCTTCTTAAAGTCTCTACTACTTATAATTATGGGTCCAAATTTTGCACAATTATTTTATTTTTAGCTACATCTATCTCCAAGTTTTGTCATTTTAAGTTATAAAAGATTGGAATTTTTTTGAATCTTTTTAAAATATTATTGAACCATGAATAATACTTCTCAACTTCAACTTCTAATGTAGATATCTCAAAATAATTGATTCATTTGAATTATGTATATATTGATTGCTTAATTTTTTTTAGAATAGTTCGCATTAACTTAATTTCATTTGTGTAAATATATACTGATATACGTGTTTTTAATTTTACTATTAGTTATATGTTTTTGGTTTTAGGCTTGCGCGTATGCATCGATTCTTAATTAATTAGCTCTAATATTCAAAACCAATGTGCAAAATTTCAATCTACATGCAAGAATTTGGTCCTTCCCAGAACTTCAAATGGAGATAATATGGACTAGTTGATAAGATTCAAAATAAAATAAAAATTAATGTCTAAATTTGACTTAATCCACTAGTAAAAAGAATATTATAGATTGTTGAAAATAATTATTAAAAAAATGATAATTTGGATAGTATTTATGGTTTCTAAACGCCTTTTTTTCTTGATAAATTTGAAAAGGAATTAAGATTTAAAAATTGAATTTTATTGAAATTAAATCACTACTCTAGGTCTTATCCTAGGATGGAATTTGAAGTAAAATTATACCATAAATATATGGGATAGTTCACTATAATAAAACTTCACAATTATAAAAAATAAATAACTATGCTACTTTAGTAGCCAATGTAATTATAATCACATATGTTTAATTAGGGATGCTATTCAGCATTCAAACCCACTTAATATGACTTGAACACAATTTTA